TGCATTCCAAACACGGTGGGGGCCAAACAATGGTTGCATCAAGTATGGGCAGGAAAGAAGAGGTAATGTGCTGGTGGCGCTCAAGCCATGCTATGCTGTGCAGTAGTGGGGACAGGGACAAATGCCATGCTGCAGGGCGTTTTGGAAGTAGACGTTGATGGCAGGTAGCTCAGGCAGGTTACAATGTTCGTTAATAATAATGAAAACAACTCAGTCTGGTACACATCTACAGGAAAGGGCAAGGTCAAAGCTTAGGAGTTAAAGGAGGTGTATAAAAGTTAGCCTCCAGGGGGGCAGAAGAGACGGCTCAGAGGTTAAGAGCGCTGGCTGCTCTTCCAGAGAACCTGAGTTCAATTCCCAGCACCCACATAGCAGCTCACATCTGCCTATAACCCAGTTCCAGGAAACCTCACACAGACACATGTAAGCAAAACACCAATGCACATAAAATAGGAAGGGAGGAAGGACAGATGGACGGACGGTTAAAGAGAAGGCATGTGTTGAACATCAGTTTAGAGACAGTTTTAAAGGAGAGTGAAATACAAGGTAAATCGTCAGAATACTATGTCATTTCAGATGTAGTCGTAAATGGTCTTGCTTCAGTTTCTCATTGAGACCACCTACCTTTCTGCGACCTCTAGCTCTCAAGTGTCTGCTTATAAAATGGACAAAGCAGCACCTGCTTCCATAGGTGCTTGAGAAAATCCTAATTGTTGAGGTGTCATAAGAATCTAAGACGGAGACTTGGGCGTTAGTCGCTTTTCATTGCTGTGGCAAAGTACCTGAGAGAATCAGGTATAAAGCAGGAAAGATCTACACTTCCATTGTTTTCAGTCCACAGTGTGTAGGCCAGTGTTAATGAGGATAGCGTGGTGGATATTAGGAGCATAGCATAGAAAAGGCTCTCTTCCTCATGGAAGTCAGGAAGAGGGACTGGACAGGAAGACTTCAGCCCCACTTCCTAATAATGCCGACCGAGTCTAGATCTACTGATTAGATCAGGGACCTCATTTGGGTCCACCAGTGTGAGACTGAGCCTTTAATACATTGAGTTTGGGCTGCAGGGGGGGAGGGGGGACTCTAGAACACTGGGGTGGCGAACGTTTACCATCAAATGTTTACATATAGTTCTCCAGGCATCCTTCTTACAAACTGACACGTGGAACTTTCAAATAAGAGTTTGGTCTAAAACTGTCCAAGTAAAGCTCTCAGGTCCCACCAGTGCCCCCCTGTGGATGAGGAGCTAGAGTAAAACCTTCATAAGCTAGAACAACACTGCAAGACAGAGGAGTGCTTTTCCTGACCTCAAAAGTGAAGGGACAGACGTCATTAAGGGAAGGGCACAGTGGATTTCCACAAGTCATGATTGTCCGAGCCTCTAAATCTAAGATCAGGGGCTAACACACTGGATTACCATGTAAGCATAGGCAACAACCTGTCTCACATGTGACTGTGGTCCACTGCCCTGTCATGCATGTCCTTCCATGGCCTACCCACAAGGTGGATTTGTTCTCCTGATACATATAAATGTCAGGTTCCATTTCTACCAAGACATGCAGAACACGTGGTTGGATCGCATTCTCTACTGCCTGAAATCACTGATCCCAGAGCCAAACCATCATGGAAAACAAGGAAAGGTCCCCTGGTTCTCAGACTGTAAGTTTTAAGGATGTCCTAAAGCTAGTGTTTACAGCACCAGCGAAGTCAACATCTGCTCGTCCTGGATGCTCACACTCAGAAAATGTGCTACCAAGACAACAGTCCTAAGAACTTGGTGATGTTTCTTGCCTTCTCCCAGACAAGAGTTTCCTTCATCTTGACATTCGTAAATTCCACAAGTTTGCAGAAGGGGACCCCTCTCTAGCCTTAAAATGACTGTTGATTCAGAAGTAATTAAAACTTTGAAAAGTAATTTAGTTCGTTCTTGTAAGAATTATTTAATTTGGCATACCAGTTACAATAATTTTATGAGCAAATGAAAAAAAAATATTTTCCCATGTTAAAACCTCCAAATAAATTAAATGTGGACCTGTAAAGAGTGTTAAAATAAGCCTCTGCCTCTTCCTCTGTATCTTAAAATACCAAAATTCGTTCTCTTACACACTCATTCCCATAGGCTTACAATTGTAGTTAATCTCACATATTTCTCCATTATCCAAAATTCTGAGCCCTCTTCTGAAGCTCAATATTAACATAGAATGTTTTAAATTCTTGGTGTGTCTCAAGATTGCAGAATGAAATGATCCTGCAAGAAAAATGACATGACATCTCTTCCCTTGAAACAACTGGGAGAGCTGTGTGGTGATGCATGACAGTAACCCTGAGCACCTGACAGACAGATGAGCAGGAGGGTCAGAAGTTCAGGACCATCCTCAGCTACCATCACTTGAAAGCCAGACTGTGATACATGACTCCTTGTGTCAAAACATTTTTAATCACATGCATGAAGGGATTTTTGTTGTTGTGGTGGTATTAAAAGAAAAAAATGGATATTTGGGGTAAAACAAAAATACAGAACTGAACTTACTTTAGCACCCTAAGTTGTTCGTGGACTCCAATAAGGAGCCATGTAGGGATATATGATCTAGGATAGTGTAGTCATCTCTGGTACGCTCAGTGACATGGTGAGAGTGGTCAAACCTGAAGTACAGTGAGCTCGAGATTCCTACACATGGAGCCCTCCGCCTAAGGACCATTTCAAGCAGTAATTTTGCCAATGTACACGTCTCTTCACTCATGAAGTTTAGAGGAATTTGTCCTTTTTTGTATTAATTTCTATGATACTAATTCCAACTCTGTATTTTCAGAAACTATGAAAAATAATATATCTCATTAACTCCTCTAATATGTCCATTAAGGATCAGGGTGGCTAAGCATAGGGTACTCTGACGCAAGTAACTCTACTAGCCACAGGAAGCGATGCATCTGTGATTGAAAGCAGGGATATTTCCAAAATGTCCTTGTATTTATGTTTTTGCCAAGTGAGGTAAAGTGATATCCCCGCAGGAACCTTGCCACTGGGGAAGACAGAGACAAGTAGCAGAATTTAAACTGTCTGCCAAGTAATACGAAAACAATGTACTCTCATCAACCTAAAGATATGTAGTAAGATACTACAAGGGTTCTATAAGTGAGAGAATTGGTCCATACACACATACACACGTGTGCGGGGTCATTTTCAGTAGAACTTTACTTCAGGATGGAGAGGGGCTGGCACTCCCCTCCCTCTCTCCCTCCCTTCATACTCATCTACAAACAAAACCTACTCTTTCTTCTTTGAAAGATGGATATAATGAGAACCCCTACACACACAAAAAAAAAAAAAAAAAAAAAAAAAAAAAAACTACATTTCCTTACACCGTTACATGACATCAAGGAAGGCATTTCCACATTGATTGAGCCTGTAACGAGTTAGGGTTTTCCTCCTGCCGCTGGTCTTCTACCGCAGCTGCGCCAGCCCCAATTCACACGCTGAGACTCTGCATTTGATATAATGTTGTTGGCCAGTTACTTGTTTCTTATCAGCTAGCTCTGTCCCAAGTATTAACTGTTTCTGTTAATCTAAATATTTCCACGTGGTTTCATCTTACAGGGGAGCAGGCTGGCATCCTGCTCTCTCCAGGCTCTCCATCCTGACTCCTCCTCACTCCTTCCTCTTTCCTCCTTGTCTCCTAGTCCCTCCTATCTTCCTTTCCTATTGGCCAACAGTGCTTTATTCATTAACCAGTATGAGAAACATATTCACAGAATGACATCTCCCATCATGAGCCCGTATTTCTAGCTGGGCCAAATACAGCCCCATTAAGAAGCCAGCATGGAAAGACTTGGGCTATCAGTTTCTGTGTACCCTCCCTATGTTACAAGTTTATCCACTGAAGTCTGATACAACGACTTCTCTCTTTAGAATCAAAATGTAGACTACTGAGGGGTGGGGGAGAGAAATACTGAGGAATGAACTTGGCCACACCATATAGCTAATTCCTTAGGTGGGATGGTAGGTAGTAGGCAGCCTCTCTCATCTCAGGAGATGGGTACAACAATATCTTGAGTTCAGTCTCTCCCTCATCTCATCCCTTATTTGTGATTGTACCACACAGGTCTACATGCAACACACATACTCACACAAATTCAAGTTATACTCATGTTCACCAGCATGCAAGTAATACTAAAAACCCTCAATATTCCACTTAAGAGAGGAGAAGAAAAACGAATTCTCCCTAGGAAAGGAACACTTTTTGTACCGCCATCATTCGATAAGTTATGCAGGGCCACCTAATTACAGAACTGCTGGGTGTTCTTTGGACATAAAATAATGATAGCAATGACATGACAAGAAGCCTATGAGTACGTGCACTGTGGTGAGATGCGTTAGTTTTCCAGCCTGCTGTTAGACTGTTACAAATTCAGAGACAAAGAGAGACTCCATTTGAAATAAATAAAGCACCAAATCGCATACTTCGGCGTGTTTATGTTATGAGAATTTCAGAATTTTCTCAGCAATAAATGGAATTTAGCTGCACAAAGGTGCCATTCTTCACCAAAGTCTAAACATCGGCTTTTCGATATAATCGTATTTGAAAGAGGAAAAGACAAAGACTGAGATGGGTTGATTCTAATAAAAAAAAAAAAAAGAATGAGTAAACCACACAAAGCCCTTTAATAAAGCAAGGGGATTTTTCTAAGAGTTTTTGCAGTGCTATTCAGTGTGGTCTCAAAGAAACTTATCTTGGTCTCATTTCCGGACTCATTGAATTATAGACATATTCTGTTAGATGTTAACATGTAGGTGGCCTTTTTTTGCAAAAGCTGAAATAGATAATCTTGAAAACGAAAAGACTAGTATTACATGAAACGACCACTATAAAAAAAATGCCCATGGACTCTGATGGCTTCAGACTCTAATTGTCATAACTGTCCCCCTGAGGAAATGACAGTGTCTAAGAACAAACGTTTCAATTTCACTTGAAAGCTCACTAACACCTCTTTGTTGGTTTTCATAGCAAGAGAAACTAGGGGACATCTGCTTCTCCCTCCGCTACGTCCCTACCGCCGGCAAGCTGACTGTTGTCATTCTGGAAGCGAAGAACTTGAAGAAGATGGATGTGGGTGGCTTATCCGGTGAGTCCACAGTGACTATTGATTGTTGTAAACACTGTTTCATCGCGGATCATGAATGCATAGCACACATGCGGGGCCCCCACTCCTCGATTGATCACAGCTCTCTCCCCCCCACAGAGCTGGAAGCAGTCTCAGAACTCAGCCAACGCAGTGCCCCAGGAAACCCACCCTCAGTTTATTGGAACTGGCAAAGAAGATGAAATCTATTCCCTTTCTCCATAGCCAAAGGATCAGTTGTCACTGAAAGCTAAAAGCGTGCCTTCTTATTTGAAAGGCAATGCCTGTGACAAATTATAGTTTTGAGGATTTTTCTTAATTCACCTTTGGTACAAAAGTTTGTATTTTACCTGAAACGTACTAATTAGGTATTTGCTAACCTGACATCATTTTTATAATACTTTTATAAAAAGACAGCCTTTCAAATCTATACAGGTGTCTTTAAGAAGCAACCCAGGAGTAGTTCACATAATTCATTTGAATTCTATAGCTTATGCCTGGGGTGGAGGGAGGGGAGATTGTGGGCTTGAAAGTTCCATGTAACCCAAGCAGGACATAACCTAGTGCATGACAGGAACTCTACCACAAAGCAAAGTCAGCTCAAGGACTGTCCCTTCTGGGGCCGGGCCTCATTTTATTTTCCTCCTCTGTGTGGTTTAAATCAATTATAATTTTAATGTTCCAGTAAATCATTAAAGTGTGAGGGATTTTCCTGGCGTGCCACAAGGTCATCACAAATGGATGACAGTTGTCATTGTTTCTAGCTGTGGAGTTACAAACGTGACTCCTTATTCAACGATCTTTCTATTTAAAACAATAAAAAAAAACCATTCTAATGCAGCCCAGTGAGTTTACTCTATGAAACCAAACAGCTCAACATTGCTGAAGGTGAGCTCTACTTACTGATCCAGCGCTTTGACACACAAATTCTCCTGCTGTCTGCTTTGTGTGTCTTTCTGACTAAACTATATTCTTTCCTGTCACTAGGACCCTACTTTAAGTCTTGCCCTCATTGCTAATAGTATACCTGGGAAATTTTAAAGCAATAATAAGAATGGCTCCTTCTAAAAACGTAGAATATTTTATGAGCTTATTTGTAAAACACACCCAGGAAAGTATTAAACATTTTACAATTATAGTTTACTCCCAGATCACAGAGTAGGACCCTGAGGAGATCTAAGATGCCTTTGACCTTTCTCTTTGGCTAGGTAGCCATGTCCCTCTAGGAGTGTAGCTACAGCACTCATATGTGCCCCCTGCTCCAAGCATCCATGTGACTCCTCCCACCTCTGTTCAGTGCTGTCTTAGCCCCTCCCCTCCTAATTAATCCTGCATTGTCCTCTTTAGAGCTCCACAATAACATTTCCCCAAAGCTAGTAAAGCATCCTCCTTCTGACTTCACTCTGGGACTTATAAATGGCTTCCCGGCACCATTGATAGCTACTTCAGCCATCCTTCTTCAAGACTGCTCTCCCTTTCTGAGGCGACCTCTTGACCAGCCATCCCTTCTCATCATCAGGATCTGCAGAAAGGATACTGGTCGGGCAGGATATATTGGAGTAGTGGTTGCAGTCACAGGCATCCACACAAGCTGGCTGCTAGCAACCCAAGCAAAGAAAAGCACCGAGGATGTCTCCCCGTTCCTGTCACACTAACTTAGCTCTGTGACATGAGAGGCACAGCCAGAGGTCAGATCTAATTCGGTATCCATCAGTTTGTACTCCTTTTCTCTTTTTCCAAAGAAAAGCAGAAAAATCTGTAAAGCTTCAGAACCCACAGAACCTACATCCACCCCCATATTTGAATTACCTGGAATGATTACCATCATTTGCAAACCCTAATTTTAAGGGCTTCCTGCTGCCTGTAGAATTAAATCATAATTACTCTAATCACCTAATGTAGACTCTTTCAGGCTATGCCATTCCACATCTCATTTTAGCCAATGGACCAACACACTCATCTCCTAACAAGCTATGGGCATGCTGCTTCCATTCCTAGACAAGCTCCTTCATCTGGAAATCTTTTTCCAATGATGTCTAGCTAAATCCTCCTTTGTCTTCCCCTGCTGAATTCTTATTCTTTCCAACTACTCAACAATCACACACTATGACTCTACTTTGAGTCAGTCAGGCATCGTGCCGAGCACAGGGTTCACAATCAAGTATAAAACGGTTCAAAGACCCTACCTGTCTGCAATTTTCATTTTAATGTAGAGACACAGACAAAAAAGCCAATAAACTAATAAAGCATACAGTGCCCTGAGATATCGTCAACACCAGAGAAGCGAAGCAAGGAAGTTGGACAAACCGTGTTAGGGTTTTGTTGTTTTTGTTGTTGTCAAATGAGGAGGTGAGGGAGTGAACCTTGGGTTCATATGGGGAGGGAGGGTGGTCCAAATGCCTTTTCCAATGTCCGGGCAGAACAAATCGTAGTCTTTGTAAATTGCAACAAGGAGTTTGTTTATAGACCTCTAACGCCACACTCACTGGCCGGTGGCCCTGAGCATAGGTAGCTGCTGAATGAATAATCAATTATTTACAAAGCCTGAAAAACAAGCCTTGTGTTTCAAATTTGCTTAGCCTGCTTCCTATTAAGGAAACTAAGTACTTGAATGGGTTGTGTCAGAGTAAGCTGACCTATGTGCAGAGACCACAATTATATAAGATCTCATTCCAAGTGATTCAGATGCCAAACTTCATTTGCCAGGAATGGCTTGGTAACTAGAACCACAGCTGGCTCTTCTGCCAGAGTTGAAACTACTCTCTGTTGCCACTAACAATCTGACTTTGCTTGGGGGGTCCTAGAGCTCAGACTTTATGTAAGCACTCCATCACAGAGCCACACAGATTGGCATTAGACAGGTTCTTTCTTTCTTCTAAGCCTCGGTTGCATTGTTTATTAAGTCAAGTGCTAAGAAGACCCCACTAATGAGAAATAAGTTATTATGAGAAATAAGTGAGAGCCCAAGTTAGGCACTCACCAAGTATCACTGTTGATATTTCAATTAGTAACCACATCAAAGTGGCAAAATGTGAAATTGATGAGTCATTTAACTAACAGCTTGATCTGGTAGGGGAAAGACTCCACTATTTGCTAAACATGCCAGATCAGTTCATGATAATAAGGAGACCGGGTTTTTTTATATGGGCTCAAGTGAAGAATTCAGACGAAGTAAGGAACCAATCAATAAAACGTGGAAGAAGACAGCAAATGGATATTTTTAAAATGTTTTTCTTACTAGTCCCTGTCAAGATCCAGCAGCTTCTTTCTTTTGGTGGTCATTCAAATGGACAGCATAAAGAGTTTGCCTACATCACACATTCATACAGTAAATAAATGATCAAACTGCCTGCCCTTCATCCTCACAACAAGTAGGATTGGACTATCCATAATTCTGCAGCAGAATCATTTTTTACACTGATTTTTTTGAGAATTTTTATGAGAACTATATTTGCATCATTGTACTCTACCCCCGTGCCCAACTCTTCCCATGTTCCCCATCCAAATCCCAAACCTTTTCTTTAATTATATACTATTTTACCTACATATGTAATACGTATGTCCACATACGTTATATGTAGTTATAAATACAAGCTACTGAATCAATTTGAGGTTACATGTATGTGTTTAGGGCTGACCCCTTGAAATTGACTCATCTATCAGCATATTCACCCCAGAAAACTGAATCTCCCTATGTGTGTTCACACACAGATACATAATTTGAAATAAAAACAAACTTTGTGCAGCCAGGAATGGTGGCGCACACCTTTAATCTCGGCACTTGGGGAGCAGAAGCAGGCAGACCTCTGAGCTGAAGTCCACCCTGGTCGACAAAGCAAGTTCCAGGACAGCCTAGACTATACAGAGAAACTGTCTCTCAAAAAAATAACTAAATTCTAAAAAGAAGAAGCAGTAAACCTCCCTATTCTGTTTTGCGTTCATGAGTATTGCAAAAAGAAAATCTAAAATTCTGAGACGCACAAGACAGTGGAGAAGTTAAGAGTTCCAGACTCCTAACGTAGAATATTTTCAACATACCCTTTAGCTTTTCCTCCATTCCCATCTTCAAGATGGAACGCATGGTCCCAAGGTGCCTTGTCTGTCTGGAACTGACACATGACAGTCCTCAGAACAGGTTAAGACTGAAAATGGAGGCTGGAAAGGGTTTGCTGGAAAGGAGAGTACTCTTGGAAACTGGGAGATATTGGTCAGCAGAAATCCCTGGGAATATTCGCACCCAATTAGCTCTCCCTTTCTTGTCTTCCCAGAATCACAAGTTGATTCTCTCTTCTCATCTGAGACTTTTGGTAAATTTATCCCCCTTGCCTAACTCCTCATTAAACAGAGTTTTACACCGTAAGCTGTTCTAGTCCTGGCTACCTGCAGCAAGCACACCGTCCTTATAGACTTCCTTCTGCCACTTTACTGCTAGAAAACGCAGTCTGGCTCCTGTGATGAGGCTTACATTTGCCTAACATTTGAAAAAAATAAATAAACAATAAAAGTGAAGTATACCAAGCATGGAAGAAAGGAGGTTTGCAGAGCCCAGGTAAAAGGCTAGTATCACGAGCACATTCTCCCAGGGGGCTGGTGGACATTAAAGAGCAAGAGAGGGGTCAGGTGGATACTGGGACGGCTGAACAAGGTACAGTTAAAGCACTGGTTCTCGAACAATGGGTCTAGACCCCTTTGGGGTCTTCACGGGGGTCAAGTAGCAGATATTTACATTGTAATTCCTAACAGCAGCAAAACTACAGTTATGAAGTAGCAGCAAAGTAATTGTGGGTTGTGGGTCAGCACAGCATGAAGAACTGTATTAAAGGGTTGCAGTTAGGAAGGTTTGGAATCACTGGTTTAAAGTGTCCCCATCAACCGTTTTCTGCTTTATCACCACCATGCATGCCCTCATCCCCGTCTTCTCCTGGCCATCCCCAACCCAAGCTTACCACTAGGGCGTTGCAACAAGCCCCTGGTGTCTAGGACACATTAATTCAAATGCATGA